CGTTACGGTCTAATGAAAATGAAAGGGGAATTTGTTTTAGTTTGTAAAATCTGTATGCAAGTCTAATTTTGACCAGCAGCAACTTCAGCGAGTAGGCTGGTGTAAAATTTTCACATGATTTGTACTGGAGGAACATATACTTCCATATCTATAGAAACACCCACAGAAATTCTTTTAGAGAATCACAATAGTCAGTATGTGAGATCTCACTGCTCCAGAGGCCTTCTGCTCCGATGGTGGATGAATCAGACTCTATATACACCATGGACAATGAGAATCAAGTGCTTTACTTTTATATGCATGCCTTATTTCAAAATGTAAAGGTCATTTAATACACGTTAAGTGAACTGTACAATGGAGGAGACTCTCAAAGGCCACAGAGACTAAAGGCAATAAAAGCAGGGAACGTTAGGTCAGCCTCAGAAGATGTTGCTATGGCATACATAAATTGAAGTTCCTTATTGACAGCAAAAAGGCAGCAATAGCCAGCTAATGGCTGACACTGCTATCAGTGAATTTCAATGGAGGAAGTCAACAGAGAAAAGTGCAGTGACTTGCCCAGAGTCAGATCTGAACGTGGGGTGCCTGAGCTGCCATCTATTATGCCACGTTCTTCACTAACCTGCCACCTCCCATTTCCATCAACACAACTAAAAACTCCCAGGCCGTTTTATTACAGGATGAGGCTGCCCAAGCAGCAAATTCACCCAGTTTTGTGAGACTGTGAGCATCCAAAATAATCCTCAACTGTATTCTGACATTCAGTAGTTTCTTTGCCCTCTGTATTTAGAGATAAAGCAAGCCTTAGCCTACAAGGGGTGCAGAGAGAGGGTACCTTTTGGTGGCCAGAGCCCCATGCACCGAGGTCTTCCACGGCACAACAGTTCCTGGCATTCAGCAATTTAAGAGATGAGGTCAGAGAGAAGTGGGGTCTGGGTGAAAAGAAAAGCCATGAAAGCCTGGCGCAGCAGAGCGAGCAGCGAGAGGCAGCAAACAAAGGGAGCAATGCACAAGTTGGTCCCTCCAAGGATGCTGTGGGAGAGGCAGAAAAGACAAAGGAAGGGGTTATGGGTGTAGCAGGGAATGAATTTATTCTGCCAAGGAAAAAAAAGGTGGGTTTCCGGGTCTGTTTTTAATTGCATTAGCCTGTCCTGTGGATAGAACCTTCCCAAAGAAGCTCGCAGGGGCACTAAACAATAATTAAAGCACTACATTCCCAGAGTCCTCTTTTGTTTCATGCTATGGGTAATCTTGAAGCAAAGGGGAAATGGGCATGAAGCTCAACGAGCTCCATGAGGGCATGGAGCTGACAGGCTGTTTACATGTAATGGTGCCTCAGCTCTCAGAGGAGGAGAGGATCTCCGATTTCAGGCCTCTGAAGTGCTAAATTACCAAATGAAAACTGAGGCAAGTTCCACCGAAACAGCAGCCTTCAATACTACAGATTGTTTTTAGCAAACAAAAGTTGACAGAATAAAGGATGAGGGTTGAGGGATGTCTGCGCTGTACGCCAAGGTTTTTCTAAAAATATTTTACACCTGCTATTCGTTCCGCTCACTGATCATATTTTGTCTATGAGGTAGCGAACTCATAGTGCCAAAGGGAATGTGGTTTATGATCCCGTCTTAATGCTTTTTCCCTTCTGTAAGGCAAAACTCCTTACTACCGTCACTAAAATAAAGCCAAGAGGACAAAAGTCATACACACAGTGCCACGGTAACAGTTTAACCATCCTCTCACTGATCTTTGGAAACAATCCTTTAGCAGGATTTTACAGCTCTGGCACTTCAATTTAGCAAAGTTTTTATGCAGCTCATGAGAGGAATGCAGCCAACTCTGTACACTCAATTTAAATCAACTTGCTGATGATATAAAAAAGAAGGCTGACCCGCCGGTTTGCTTCATCTGCTCCAAAACTACCAACACAAACTCCGAGGTATTTATTTCTGAAAGGTTAATAGAACAGTCTGGGGCATCAGATCAGTAAATGAACTCTGGCTTGATCCCATGCTGGTCCAAAGAGCTGATTTAACAACTAGTTGCTGGGTTACTTGATATTTCAGAAACACAGCCAGGCTGTTTGTTACTAACAGGCTTGTGCACGTTGCAATACGGTGGGAGCACAGGGTGCAGGCGGCCATGCTGTGCTGGGTGATCTTCTGCCACAGTTGTCTGTAGCAAGAGATTGTACGAGCAATATTAATAGCTTTCTAATTTTGCATGGTGAAGGAAGGTTGGCTCTGGCCGTGGCTTACACCTAGTACCCAATTTGTATTATGACAGCTTAGGTGAAGTTAGAAGAACTACAACATTTGTACTCACCAAGACTGCAGTCCCAGGCCAGCCCGTGCCCTCTGGACTCCTATCTGCATCAGGGACCTTCAAGAGCACAACACAGAAACAAAGCACTACGTGTTGTAAACTGCACCTGTGAGCTGGCTCTCCTTTGCATAAATAATCAGATCAATTTAATTTTGGTGACCGCTACTGGACTCTGATCAAGGTCTGTTGTCTACCCACAGAACAAATGCAGCACAGACCCCAGCTGTCCATTCAATCCCCTTACCCTGCCATGCCAAGATGTCTCTGAACTCAAATTCACACATTTCAGGTAGTGATTTTCAAAAATTACCAACTTGTGCTGAACTGAGTGAGCCTTACAGATCAAAGTGCTTTGAACTTGTGTTGGGTGGGGGCTCCGAGTGAACAGACAGGATACACTAAGCACCATCGAGGGGGATGCATACTTATGGTTTTACCCTCTTCTTTACTGTAAATTAAAGACACCTTCCGAGGTTTAACTTACACTGGCAATTTTAAGGAAGTAAATTGCAAGTTCACAAGAGAAAACACAAAAGAACTTGCACAACTGAGCAAATGCTTCCTTTTCCTCCTTCACTCCTTTTTAAGTCCTTTCGCCCAAAGCAAAGGCACTTACCCGACAGCAAGGCTCAGGAGCAGAACTCTGGGTGTGTGCAAATTGAACCAGAGATTGACTTGGCACTCACTTCGAACAGAATGTTGCAATGTAAATGTTTGATCTAACAAATTCAGCACCAAACTTTAGCAAAAGATAAAATAAATGGGTGAAGTAGACAGAACAGAAAGCACACAGCTTTAATTTCTATAAGGAGTGAGAGAAAACATTAAAAATTTACACATTTGCATTATTTGAGAACATTGGAAGCTCTCCCTACAAGTTCTCTCCTTGCAAAGCACCATAAGCAAACCCTGCTTATTAAAATATTTATATTACAAGGTGCTGCAAAAATCCACCTTGCTTCCAGAGATCCTTTCTTGCTGCAAACCACTGCCCTTCGCACGTAGAGCTGGATACAGTGGAAGTGGACAAGTCAGCATAGCAAGAGGATAAGTTCGATGACCTTTAAGAGAAATGATCTCGGTTTAAGTCACAGAACAGAAATATTACAGAACACAGAGAGCAGTCTCCACTCTCAGAGTTGCCCAACATCCTAGGCAGTTTAGGTATTACTATTGTATTGTAAATAGTAAAACTGTAGTAAGTCTGAAAACATAGGCATACAGATAGAAATAATACACAGAGCTAAGATTCTCCATTTTCCAGTAATTGATCCAATTCCTTTTAAAAGCAAAATCCACTTAAAATTAGATACCAAATGATCTACTTTTAAGTACAGTTCTGCCCACTGATGTGCCATTAGTGAAAAGATAAACCAGGTGGCAAACTCAATAAAAAGGAGCCAGTTAAATACAGACAGATGAATGCCTAAAAAAACCTCCTTCACTCCATTACTGCTTTTCAATTGGTTGTCATGGCATTACAAATTGATACCATTGTCAGCCATGCATCTCCACCCCATTTCCTCATCATAGCTTCTGTCCAAAGCAAAAATCTCATGCTGGTGTTGAAAAACAGCCTCTTCCCTACAGCACCAGGCCATTTCCACCAAAACCCTGCTCGCACCAAACTGAGGGTGTGCATGTGCATAGAATTTACACCTTTTGTAAAGTCAAGTGCATCAAACAGGAGAAGACTGACCTTGTCTCAAAATCCAGTTTCAGAATACTACTAAAGTTCAGATAAGTTTAATCTTGTGCTCCTTCCGTAGCTTACAATTCATCAGCATGAGCCAAAGGACTATCCGCTTAGCATGCATCTTCTCTTTGTATGACTGGAACACGCATGGAAAATAAATTGACATTTTTTAGAATTACGGATTAAAGAAGTAAGGTTCCTTTCCCCTTAACAATGCCCATTAGCAAGGAACGCTATCTGCTGAACAGACAAAAAAGAGGGATGTAACTGTAAAAAAAGCCCTGGAAAAGCTGAGTTGTTTTGTCAGCCTCCAAACTCCTCCAACTCACATTCACGTTTTGAGAATCTATTAAGTTTGAATTGGTAAAATCCACTAAAATAAAAACCTTAGAATGTCACATTGTAGTTGCATTACATTTCTTTCTTTAATAGAGCATATAAAATGAAAGTTTACAATGAGTTTAGTAAACTGTAAATCAGCACTTTTATTCAGTCTGGTTTCTGAGCTATTAATCCCTAATACAGAAGCAGAACGCTGATGCATGGGTCTAGGACCTCTCGAGAGAACAGTCCAAATCCATTCTGATGACACGGAAAGTGAATTTGATTGAATCACCTGAGGCCCTTCTGGATCCATCACATCGCACAATAACTCAACATTCACATAGCTTATAGTCTGAACTCTCAAGGAAAAAGAAAAAAATAGAATTACCTTCTGACTTCAGGGAGCTGCAGTTATGGAAAACAAGTGCAAGTTTGCTCAAATAATGGCAGGCAAGTACTTAATCAGGCTATGTGCTTTGTCAGTAGTATTTTAGGTACAGCAGCCCATTATTGTGGTGCATCAATACAGCAACCCTTTCCATTGCTCCTTTGTGATGCACTGAGTCAGACTTTTTTGCATCATTAGCACTGACAACACAGTAAACGCAGCGCTCTGATCTTCAGCGGAACAGTAAAAACACAGACCACAACAGTCAACTAATTTTAAAGAATTTTAATACAAACTTAATATAAACTATTTCAGTCCCTCTTAACATGTAAGACACTGACTCAAAATACTTTTATACCTTTTTTCAAGTATTGCACAATGTAGGTACAAAATTAATATTTACGATTACATTTTCTTCCATAATATATAGCAAAAATCTTTAAACTTTTAACAGAAAATACAATTTGTGTTTCTTTTGAAAAAAGCAAATATTCGTACATTTTAATTCCACCACTAAGGAATATTATGTACACAACTTTTTACTTTTTTTAGAATTGATGTCTTTAAGATGGATATCTTACAATTTCAGTAAAAAAAATACAACATGAAGCTGCTGCAGCTGTCACAGATCACTGTAGTAAAAAGATATAAATGCAATACCATGTTGTAGAAACAATATATATACTCTGATATTTTACAAACTTTGTACTAAATTAAATTATACAATTAGAAAAAGACCAATAAACCCACCTATTAGTGCCAATTTTTTAAATATATATACATATATGTTTGAGCACACATATATATACACACATGAAAAAAATTAGCCACGTCCTTGCTATATCTTAAATACTGTAAGAGGCCATATTTTGAGAGTATATTTTTGTAATGTACAGTCAGTATAAAATAATTTTGTGCTTGGTTGGCAAATGAAAAAATGATGCATGTTGTATTTATCTAACCAAGCCTGAACGTATTCATACTACAAGCCTTAAAAAAAATCTCAAGAGGTGGAAAAAAAGATACACCCTTGGGTACGTGCATTTTAACTTGTACAATAGTATTTACTTGTATTTCACTTTTGTTTTATTTTTAGTTAGCCATAACTGGCTGGAATTGCTGGTTAGAATACTGCATGTTGTTTAAACTAAAATTCAAGCCATCCACAAAAGACTTCTCATTTAGACCTCCATAGGCTGCAAACATATCAAAGGCATTACTGTACTGGAGAGGACTGAGGTTAAGGGGGCTGTCACCAGGAAAGATGCTACTGGTACTACCTTGACCCTGCATGTTGGGGAAAATGAACTCCTTTGCGTTAGGAGAAAGGGCAGAAGTCTTCTGCTGTTGTTGCTGCTGCTGCTGCTGCTGACTGCCTAAGCCAAGCCCGTAGAGAGAGTGCATGGAGGAGGAAAGGGCTTTCTGCTTCAACAGGTCATTGACATTCAAGCCAAGGTTGGTGGGAGAAGTGCGGGCGACCTTGTTGCTACGGCCGCTATTCTTCATTTTGGTCGAGCCAAACTTGGTGGCAGCAAATGTGGCAGTGGTGAAGGTTAAAGGCTGAGTGGAGCGGGGCATGAAAGTTGGGCTCACAGCAGCAGAGTGGCCAAAGGGAGGAGAAGGAGAACTAGACACTGAAGATGCTGGGTCACTAATTGGCATGAACACCTGGGCCTCTGGGTTAAAGCTGTTCTTGATTTCCTTATCCAACTCACATCCATTTTCATTATCATCCACATAAAGCACTTTCACTGGTCCCTTTTCACCGATTTGGTATGAAACCTCAAATGGGTCAATCCAAACACTAAGATCCTGAGGCAAGTTGCCACGAACATCATCAATGTCCAAACCACTCTCTTTGGATGCTTGTTCTATGACTGGGTCCACCTTCTCCCCTATGTGTATACATCTAAACCCTGATCCTTTGTATGGCTTTTCTGGATACCAGTGCCCTTCATACTTCTTCTTAAGAAGTCTTTCAAGCTCTTCACCAAAAATGTTGACACGTCGTCTGGGAAGCTTATTGTACAAATATGAAATAATAAAATTGAGTGCTACTTGGATTTCAAGCTGCATAGCTGCTATGCCACAAAGGTATAAGTCTGTTTCAAAACCCGAAGAAAGTGTTCAAGATGCCACAAGGAAACAAAATTTCATTCAAAGTGCTGATTCTAGTTGATTATTATCCTTCACCTTGCGTGCTCTTGTTCCTTTAAGAAAAAACAAAAGCAAACACATCCAAATAAGGAAAGCATAAGATCAAGCTCCAAGGCCTATTCTTTCAACTTCACTTGCTGCATAAAATAGGTTACTTTTAAAATAAAAAAAAAATATGCATCAAACTATTTATGTTCAGGCCTGCGGAAGGTGAGGATGTCAACTACATTCAGAATGACTTACAAGCAACGCTGCAGAAGATGCACTAGGCATGTGTTTACATATACAGCATGGGGCATTTCAAAATCACATGAGCTTGCTGTTTAGTTATTCACAAAGCAGCAAGGATAATTTTTAAGACATCACAGAACTGCCAGGCTTGTCAAGGGTTCAATTACCAACCCGTATTCGGATGATTTATAGTACTCAGCTGCAAAATTTAGCACCAGACTATTAGTTTAGCTCGAAAGGTCTTAGTCCAAGGGTCATTTATCAATTTAAAGTTTGCAAACATACTGGTTGCACTGTAAGCTACAGAATTATAAAAATGCTAACTACTGCTTTAGAAGATTTCACACAAATAACCAAATTATGCAACATTTATTTTAACTCCGAGCAAATCATCCGCATAAACTATGCACTGGCAAAATTATGCTAACTGAAGAGAAAATGTCTGCTGTACATAGAATTGTACAACAATTCTTCCTTGGAATAGCTAAGATGACAGTGCAGTCAATGCATACAAAATAGATGCATGTATCTTCTGGCATAAGGGTGGTAATGACCATGAAATTATTACAATAAATTCACAATTTTTTCCCTTTCTACAAATTATTCTGTATTATCAGATGTAATATATTAATATATACTAAATTCATATATTGCGCTGTCTATAGTTCAGATTTCAAAAAAGTTCCTAAAGCTAACAGGGCTTTTGATAATCTCAGAAACGAACTGCTTTTCTCGTTCTCCATGACTCCATTTTATATTTAATATAAAATATGGTCGCCACTCCTTCACAAAGGACAAAAGAGAAATTAGGTATGTGAAGTTAAAGGGGTAAGAATCAAGTACTAGCACACGTACTGCTAACAAAAATTCTGCAGTACCTCAGCATAAAGGTACTCATCCACAGGAGACACCTTTTTCCAAAAAGTTCCAATCAAACAAAATATGTATTTCTTGGCTCAGGTTAAACACACAACTAGAATGTCAATTAACTGTGCTTTTCTGCACTGCATCACTGCAAATAAAATTTAGTGTAGCTGTCACTAAAGATTAGAGAAATCAAAGTCAGTATCAAAATCCTTTGACAATGTAAATAGAATGCTTTTTAAATTTCTTGCTCCAAATAATTCCTTTTAAAGTCTGGAACCCTATTTCCAAGCCACTTGAGTTCTCCCCAACATGGTATGGGAATAGTTTGAGAGCTTGTACGATAAGGCGACCTTTAAACGTTTGCTGGATCAGCACTGGGTGGGGATAAGGAAAAGATCAAGGGCAAACAGAAGATATTTACAAAAGGGACACAATCAGTACAGAAAATCTGATTGGGTGTTTCAAAGGGGCATTTAAAAATGATTTATTAATCCATCTGTTTTGTTTCCCTTCCTCCATGTCCTTTAGGAAAAAAATGATCCTTTCAAGGCGCACCAGGCAGACGCTATAAATTTTTCTAAGCCCTGAAACTGATCTGTGGTACAAGCAGCTGATCAAACAAATCAGACTGATCATTTCAAACTTTTTTTCTGTTTTGTTTTATTTAAAGAGGACAATATTTCTCAGGGATCCAAGCCCATTAATTGCTCCAGGAGCAGAGCCCAGGCGCTGGGGGCTCAAGGCAGGAGCCTTCAGCAGTGAGGAGTTACATAACCAGGCAGTCGGCTCTCATTAGATTTCTGCTCACAGCCCTCGGAGCTCCGGCAGCAGCAGGAGGAGGAAGAGCATTTTCTGAGCCCGTAAGAAAGAAAATGAAGAAGAGGAAGGGAGAGGACTGGAAGGAGAGCTGGGGGGGGGGCGCTGCAAGGCCCCTCTCCTCACCACCAAGGCCAGCACCCAGGGCCCGGCGACACCCGTCTCCGCCCCCCCTCTACGCCGGAGCAGGGTCCCAGAGGACGGCTGCCAGCGCT